AGAATATGTTTGTTAAAGATTTATACCCTGTATTTGTTCTGGGAAGTTGGGGGGGGGGGGGGTTGGGGGGGTTGGGTTCGGGTGGGGGAGGGGAGGTAAATGTTTGTAAAAACTTTTTTAAAATTTTCAGTTAAAAAAAAAAACACACCGAGGCCATCGCAAACCCCCCTGGTTCTATTCATATCAGGACCCATTTCCTGGCTACCAGGAACTTCCAAATTCACCGCAAGATACTTGCAGTGACACAAGGCAGGAACAGCCTTGTTTCAAAATCTTTTTTGCCTGATTTCCTTTGTCTTTAGATTTACAAAGTCTCCGTCGGATGGAATTGTGGGAAGACATCAATTCAGGGCCCAGGTCACATCCACCTGAGTTTATTAGACACCAGCTGTTCTTGCTGAGTGAAAAACTCAAGAGATTCATTCGCAGAACCTGCTAAAATAAACTAATTTACACCTTTTGGAAAGTTTAATGGATGTGGTTGGGACAAAAGTGGACACAAAAAGAAGCACAGAAGAGTCTGAAGCTAGCAGTTTATGATAAGGTGTTTGTACTGCCACATCTGGAGGAAAGGAGACTTTAAGAAGTTTTAGAAGTTTCAATATTTTAGCAAACTTTAAAAAAAAAAACCTGAATCAATAAAAGCTTAACCCAAAGATGCTTTTTTCAGGAGGCCACTGGACTTTCTAGTTTTTTTCTTTGAAGATGTTTCGCTTCTCATCGAAGAAGCTTCTTCACCTCTGACAGGATAGTGGAGAATGGAAGGATTTACATTCCTTACAGTCAGCTGGTCATTTGCATCCTTTTAGAGTGTAGTTGAAGCACTTGGAGGTTTATCTGTGTCCTCAGGGTCACCTGAGTAATGCTAATGGTTCCTGTGGTCTGTAATTTTTTTCCCCTCTGGAAACCCATTCTTGCTCCCTCACCATTCAAAGGGTGTTCATTTTTAATAAAAACGTAAGTGACAAACTCTGTAAATCGAAGAAGCACTTGGTGTTGGCTAGCATCTTGAATGCCCTGATCTACTAACAGAGATGAAACAGAATTTCATTAGGAAGGATCCGTAGCAGGAGCTTTGGTTGATCTAGTGACATGGAAATGAATGGACATCTGGGACCCATTTGTTGTCAATAGTGATTAACGACTCAGAAAGGCAACTGTTTCAGATCTTCAGGCTCTCTGTGAGATTTGGATGAGAACAAAATCTAGTGCAAATGGGGGTTGACAAACTAAAGGAATATCATTGCACCTGTAACGAAGGTGTTACTAATGGTTGCAAAAATATTTCAAAGCTTCCTTACTTTTATCATTCTTTGTTTAACAAAGAAATCATCATCTTCTTCTTCTTCTTCTCCTTCTTCTCCTTCTTCTTCTATCATATATATATGGCTGTGTGTGTGTATGTTCCAGCATAACTCTGGAACGCCTCGAGCAATTTCAACCAAACTTGGTACACAGATGACTTACTCTCTGGAAACAAATACTCTGGGTATAAGACACCCCCAAAACCCCTTGGAGTGTGTGTTCTGTTAAGATACAGCCTGTTGTGCCTTCAAATGGCTTCTACTGTACTGCCATAAAATGGCTTCTACTGTAC